GTTCAATCCCCCAGCACCACATGCCAGCCAGCCCTGCCCCCTGGTGGGCTGAGCTGGCCACACACACACACTACATAAACTAAAAAAAAAAAAAAAAATGAGAGCCATGGAAGCAAGGAGAGGAGCATAACATGAGAACCATTAACAACTTATACTATCACCATCATTCTCTCCTTTTCAGAAATAAAGCACTGATAACTGAAGAGTGGACCCTACCTCTGAAATTTTTAGATATAAAGATAATAAAAATTTTGCTTTAACCATTAAGGTCTTTACCCTTTTGATTAACTTAAGAAACAAACAAACCCCAAAAAAATCAGGGCTGAGGATACAGCTTGGTGGCATAGCACCTGCCTGGCACTTACAAGGTCCTGAGTTTGATTTGCAGTACCAAAGCCAAAAAAAAAAAAAAAAAGCAAGAAGACTAATTGCAGCCTAATCTGGATGTTGCTAATAACTATGATAGAGGCAAAGACAAGTCATAAAATCACACAAACTTCTGTATTAAACAATCAACAAGTCATACAACTCATGTTCTCTTTGTATATATAAATCCTAGGGAGTAATCATTATAAGATAACCAAGCAAAATTTACTCTTAATGCTTTTGGGGGATTCTCCCCATTTCCTACTACCAAATAAAATTGCCAACCCAGTTAAGAAGATTAACCATATATATGCCATTAACTAGCTGAAAAGAAAAACAATAAAACACTGCAAAGTCCAGCATAGTGGCACATGTCAATAACCCCCGGTACTAGGGAGGCTACAGCACAAGATCACAAGCTAAAGGTTAGCCAAGGAAACTAAGCAAGGCCTGCCCGAAAATAAAAAAGTGATGGAAGTGTTACTTTGTGTGAGGTCCTTGTTTCAATCTCAAGGTGTTTTTTTGTTTTGTCTTTTTGAGACAGGGTCTAGCTATGCAGTTCAGACTCATCTTGAACTCACCACAATCCTCCTGCCTCAGCCTCCAGAGTACTGGAATTGCAGGAATGCCCCACCACATCCAGTTTCAATTTTAAGTTTAAAAAAGGAAAAATTTAACCCAGCATATCATTATCAAGTAGTCCCTTTTTTTTTTTTCCTGGTTCCGGGGATTGAACTCAGGATCCTGCACCTGCCAGGCAAGCGCTTATTCTACTAAGCTATTTCCCCAGCCCCAAAAGCTTTTTTTTTTTTTTTTTTGGTGGTACCACAAATTGAACTCAGGACCTTGCACTTGCCAGGCAAGCACTTATGCTACTGAGCTATCTCCCCAGCCCTTCCTTAATATAAAATGAGTCTGTCCAACTCAAGGTAAGACTTATTTTCTCCAGTTTATATCCCAAGATTATCTAAATAAAAACCCCAAAACTCAAGTTGAAGAAACTGTAACAAGAACGTCAAGTATTCTGCCAAAAGCAAAATATTAAAAATACAAGAAATTACTTATGTTTGGTTTGGCTTTGTACATTACTAAGCACTGAACCTAGAGCCTTCATTTTGTGCTACATTCCTAGTATCATTATTAAGTTTTTTGTTAAATTTCAAAACGGGGTCTCACTAAGTCACTAAGTTGCCAAGACTAGTAGGCTTCAACTTGTGACCCCTGCCTCAGTCTTTCAGAGCAAGCATTATAAGAAGCTCCACTGGCTTAGCCACTGTAGCATATACAAAAATAAAACAAGAAACTCCTATGTTGACTACAGTCATTAAATTTTAATTCTATTTATTTATTGATTGATTGATTGTATTTTTAGGGAAGGGTCTACAGGGTGTTCAGGGTCTCAACTGCTATATCAGATTTGTAATGATTCTCCTGTATACAGCCTCCCAAGAGCTGAGATTACAGGCACACTCCATCACGCCCAGTTTCTGAAATTTTAAGATCAATTAGTTATCACTGTTAATGAAAACCTTAGTTACAATGATTAATACACACTCAATGAGATTTATTTTGACATTACCAGGCAATACACACTAGCGCAGTGACCGGGGTTCAATCCCCCAGTATGCTATGGTGGCTCCACCCCTGGGGTGCACTGAGACCCAGAACTGAGACTGGGTGTTCTGGCGTGAGCCTGTAAACCTAGTGCTTGGGAGGATGAAAATTGGAGGAACACTATCAGTCCAATCCATGTAGTGAGACCCTGTACTAGATACATTAAAAAAAAAGTAAACTGGAACCTCTGGTCAAGGTGGTGCACACCTGTAATCCCAGCCACTTGGAAGGCAGAGGCCAGATAATCACCGTGAGAACCTATCTTCTTTGATATGGTAATGACATTTAATGTTATATATCATTAAGTCACGTGTCATAAGTACTGTACGGTATTTATAATGCAGCTATTGTTGCCAAATTTGTATAACTAGGGGCTGGTGATATGGCTCAGTGGTCTAAAGCACCTACCTAGAACAAGCTAAGCAAAGCACAGGGACCAATCCCCCAGCACCACATGCCAGCCAGCCCCGCCCCCTGGTGGGCTGAGCTGGCCACACACACACACACACACACACACACACAAATAAATAAAAAACAAACAAAAAACCAAATTTGTATAACTAATACACATTGTATCTTCCGAAAGCCTTACAATAGGAAGAGCAAGTACTTTTTTTACTCGTTTTCAGAGACATAGCTAATAAAAAGTGGCAGATTAGGTCTAGGTGTCTGAAGTCTAAGTTGATACATGTGCCATTTTAATAAATATATAAGGCAATTCTGCTCCATCAAGAACGGGGGGGGGGGGGGGACGACGGCTGGGGAGACAGCTCACCTGAGTTCAATCCCTGGTACCGCAAAAAACAAAAACAAAAAAAAACAAATGGGGAATGGCCAGGCATGGTGACACACACCTATAATCCCTGAACTAAGGAAACTGAAGCAGGAGGGTAACTCCCCTTTCCCCACACTCCTCCAGGGTCTTTCTGAGACAGGATCTCACTATGCAATTCAAGCTGGCCTTGGGCTCACTTTGTAGCTGAGTACTGGGATTATAGGTGCACCACTACACCCAGCAGGAGGATAACCTGAATTTGAGATGAGCCTGGGCTATATAGTGAGTTTAAGACCAGCCTGAACTGAATCACATAGCAAAATCCTGCCTCAAAAATTAAATAGATAAAGGACTATTACTATCTCCTGCTAAAATTGTATTAGGATTGCAAAAAGATTAAGATTTGTTGACAAATCTGTTGACTAGTTGATATTAATGGTTTTCTCTTCACAAGATATAAACAGTATTCAGCACAATGAGGATTTAGTAAACAACTTTTTTCCTAAGATAATTCAGTTTGTCAAAAGGTTAAGTCGGAGCTGGTGAGATGGCTCAGTGGTCTAAAGCACCTACTTAAAACAAGCTTAGCAAAGCACATGGACCGTGGTTCAATCCCCCAGCACCACATGCCAGCCAGCCCCGCCCCCAGGTGGGCTGAGCTGGCTGGCCACACACACATACACTAAAATAAATAAATTAAAAAAAAAAAAAAAGGTTAAGTCTTCAAAAACAAACTGCAAAGTGTGGTGGTGCACACCTGTTATCTCAGAACTCAGGGGCTGAGAGGTAGAGGCAGAGGCAGGAGGATCACAGTGAGCTCAAGGCTAGCCTGGCATACATAGTTTATGACCAAACCTGAATTCTAGTGGGAGACCGTTTCTCAAAAATCAAAGCAAAACAAAATAGCTACAAATCCTATCCTTAGCTACAAAAAGCTAATAACCTATTATCAGTTAATCAGTTATTTTTCAACTGTTCTCTCATCTTCTAAGAAATGTAACCTTGAATGAACCAATACACTTTTTTTTTTTTTTCCACTTTTTATGTATTTGGTACAGAGTCTCACTACTCAGCTCAAACTCCTAGTGATCTTACTGTTTTGAGCCTCCCCAGCATGGGGATTATAGGCATGCACCACCATGCCCAGTGAGTGGCCAGCTCAACCTGCCCAGGGGTGGGTCCATCAGGGCTTTTTGGTTTTAAGTCTTTTGTTTCTAAAACCAATCTCTTCTGCTTGGCCCATTAAAACACCTATTTATGAAATGAAATGTTACCAATTCTTTATTCCAAAAGTAAAACCAATTAAGACCTTTAGACAAAGCTGCTGAAATTGTATTCTTTTGACAGAAGTAATGACTTTGTAAATACCATGGAGTTATGTAGGAAGTTTCATTAGGATAAATCATGTTTCCTACTTACCATACCATGATGGGAAAACGTGCTCCCTGAAGCAGGTTGTGATATGGCACTCTGCTTCGAGTTACTGAATACCAGAGGCTGAGCCAGGGAAGGAGCCTGAGATGGATCCAGATTAGATGAATCATTCTCCATTGAAGATGGTGTCTTCCCCAGCAGAACAGCAAGGTCAATTCTAGTGGGATAGGAAAGGGATCTTGATGAATAATGACTAAACACGATAGCATACCCCAATATCTGATTCAGGTCATAGTTGGATCAAAAGGATGCCACTTACTGATGCTTCTTCTGAATGACTTCATAAATACAAAGCTCTGAGAAGCTTAATTTACCAAATCAACTGATGTCTAAGAATCACTACAGGGGATGGGGAGATAGCTCGGCAATCTAAATGCTTGCCTGGCACACACAAGGACCTGGGTTCAATCCCTGGTACATGTCATGCCAGCCCCAGTGCAGTAACAACCAGTAAAACCAGGCATCATGCTACACGCCTGTAATCCCAGTGCTGGGGAGGCTGACACAGAAGGATCACTATGAGTCCAAGTTGTGTAGGAAGACCCTGTACCAAACAAATAAATGATTTTTTTTAAAAGAAAAAAAATCATTGCACTAACTTAACTTCCACTGAAACCACCAACAGTAATGGCTAAATGATATTTTAATTTTGATGAAATTATTAATTTTTTAAAAATTTATCTATTGTATTTATTTATTTGTGTGTGTGTGTATGTGTGTGTGTGTGTGGCCAGCTCAGCTCGCCTGGGGACGGGCTGGCTGGCATGAGGTGCTGGGGGATTGAACCGCGGTCCCCGATGCCTTGCCAAGCTTGTTCTAAGTAGGTGCCCTAGACCACTGAGCCATCTCTCCAGCCCCTGAAATTATTAATTTGATGAAATGTTAAATACGTTTTTGGAGGAAGAGACAAGGTCTCACTATGTAGCCCAGGCTGGCCTAGAACTTGTGGTGATCCTTCTGCCTCAGCCTCCTGAGTGCTGGGATTATAGCCATGTACTACCTCAAATATCAATTTTTAAATAACAGCTCAGTAACTGGACCAAAATTCACAAGTATTTAATTACCTATGATTTTAATACTGAGTTATTTATCATTGTAATTTTTAAAATATAAAGCCATATTCCTGAATGCTGGCATCTTCAAATGGCTTCAAAATAAGGAGGGTTTTTTTTGTTTTATTTGAGACAATATTGCTATGTAGCTCAGGCTGGCCACCAACTATGAATCCAGGTGGACTCCAGCCTGTGCTGATCTTCCTGCCTCAGCTTCCTGAGTGCTAGTATAATAATGATTGTTATCACAGGTGACAAAACAGGATAGGGTTTTGTTTTGTCTTTATGAAATAGGGCTTCACTATGCAGTCCAGGCTGGCCCCAAATTTGAAGGAATCCTTCTGCCTCAGCCTCCCAAGTGCTGGGATTACAGGCAAGCGCCACCTCACCCAACTCCAGGGTAGGTTTTGAAAACTGTTTCCTACAACTTACAAAGTTTCAAAAGTTAACTATAATACAACAAAATATGGAGCTGAGGATGTGATCCAGTAGTAAAGTGTGTGCCTAGTACTAAAGTGTGTCCCCATCCCCAGAAAGGAATTCCTTTAACAGTGCCTTCTGTTATTCAACACACGTTTCTTTCAACCACCAACTTTATATGACAACCCAGTAAGGATCCTCTACATAACTTCAAAGTGCGTCTAGTCATTAGAAAGAGCAGCCAGAATATTCAGGCCCTCCCAACTCTTCACATGACCAAGGGAGGGGATTAAGTTCAGTCACCAATGACCCACGATTTAATCAATTATACCTAATTAAGTTCCAATTATGAAATTTCCCTCAAGCAATGACATGTAGAAAGACTCGGGGTACCTGGAGAGGACATGAAAGGTATGTTCCTTACACACAAACCTTGACTTAGCATTTCTTTCCATTCAGTTGTTCATTTTTTTTAAAGTGTTATGTCACTACCTTTTCACTTTATATTTTGGCAGATTTATTTTTTGCGGAACCGGGTATTGAACTCAGGCCCTTGCACTTGCTGGGGAAGTGCTTATTCTACTGAGCCATCGCCCTGGCCCCACTTGGTTGTTCTTGTACTGTACTTTTTTTTTAACCAGTAAAAATGCTATCCTGAATTGAGTTGTTTTAATATGTTATCAAACCTGAGATGAGGTCATGGACAGTTCACAGACCTCTGAAGTAGGGACAGTCTTATGAGGCAGAGCCCTCAATGTGTGAGGTCTGTGTCAACATTGGCTATTTAGTGTAAAAATGCTGACAATATCCAGTTGCTCTCACAGAATCACACAACTGATATAGAAAAACTACATGTGTTGGGAAAACAAACAAACAAACAAACAAACAAAACCTACCTATCATAACTTCTGTAACACCATACACTTAACACAACTCCTCATGATCTTCTGAGCAACAATTATGTCTAGGACTAGAAATAACCAGGTGGACTTTTAGGGGATAAAAGTATTTCCTAAAGAATATATCCCCTACCACTGATCCTAATATGTAGGTTTAACTTCTAAAAATTTCATTAGCTAGAGTCTAGCTAATGAATGAGGCACTGGTTCCCAGACCATAAAAGATAGCAAAATGCTCAAGGGGCCTTATATACAGAAGTATTTGTATATCTGCACTGTCCTATATATTTATATAATCTCTAAACTATGTTACTGAATGTAATATAAATGCTATATAGTTATTATGCTGTATTGTTTAGAGAATGATAAAGGATAGTCTTTCAAGTATTTCCAAGCTGTGCAAGGTAGTGCATGCCTATTAAGCCCAGCTACTTGGGAGGCTGAGGCAAAAGGATCCCACATTCGAAGCCGGACAATTTACCAAACCCATCTCAAAATAAAAAGCACTGGGACATAGTTCAGGACTCCCTGGATTCAACTCACAGGTACTGCAAAACAAATTTCCTTGATGTGCACGTGATTGACTCCCTGGACACAGAGTCCATAAATACAAAGGACTAAATGTGCTCAGCACGTTCATAAAATGAAGACTACTACTATAAAGCAAAAGAACCTGCTGGATAGTTCTATAGAACTCAAAAATAAATGAAAACATTCCCACTTTTGGGTGGACTCTTCTTTTCCTCTCTTGGCTTACTGATTTTGTGTGATTGAAGGCCTTTATTTTGAGGGAGAGGGTTGAGAAGCAGGCTCTTCCTGCGTTAGTGCAAGCTGGCATAGAACTCAATTATGTACTCCAGACTTGCCTTGAACTCACTGGGATCCTCCTGCCTGAGCCCCTCCAGTGCTTGGATTACAGGCATGTGGCAACATGCCTGGCTTAAAGTCTTATTTCAGGGAACAATTGCCTTTAATATTGTAATAGGTGGGCTGGTGAGATGGCTCAGTGGTCTAAAGCACCTACTTAGAACAAACTTATCAAAGCACAGGGACCACCGTTCAATTCCCCAGCACCACATGCCAGTCAGCCCCGCCCCCTGATGGGCTGAGCTGGCCATACACACACACACACACACACACACACACACATATAAATAAAATTAAAAAAAAATATTGTAATAGGTATTTTTACTCAATACACTCACTAGTCAGACAATACCAACTATTATAAATTTCTCCATCACCCAAAGAGGAACATGGTCATCATTAACTACCACCATAAGTTGTAGAGACTACCCCTTATTCTGACAACTACCTCAGCAGATCACTTTGGGGAAAGGTAATGGATTTCACTTGCCTCTGACCAGCAGTGATTGTCACATTCTCTGCAGGCAGAGGCACTGAAGACACATTAGAGGCAGTGAAGATCTTGGTCTCAGAAAGCTGGAAAACAGAGTTATTAGTCACTTCTGGTACAAGGAAAACTAAACGTATTTGACACAAAGCAAATTCAACATCACGAAGAAGGGAAATCCCTAACAAAACTATCTACACCCTAAGGAATTTTGAATGGATCAACTTTCAACATATTCTCAGTCGTTTTATCCAAAGGGTAGAAACAAGGAATCCAATAAAATATTATAGAGCCACATCTTTACATGCACAGTGAACTTACAGGAAGGTTAATTTATTATTTATGCTACTGGTCACAAGAAACAGAGAATCCCTTTGTATTGTCCCATTATAGTTACCAACTCTCATCATGTTTATCTTTTAACATACACCCCCATGAAAAGTAAATCATACTGAAGTTGAAGAAAGAAAAGCTAATTCTTGGCTTCAAAGCATTAATGGCTCCTGTACTAGTGAATTAAGGTCTTTTGAAGGATAATTTTGACTACACACCATTTTTGCCCTAATACTATTATACTCTTTTTTTTTTTAATACTAAGTATTTTATTATATGTTGGCACCAGCGTATATAAAATACTCTCGTGAAGTAGAAATTCATGAAAATCCAGAGGGGTAGATGTTAAGGACAAAGTAGAAGTTTGTATGTTATGGCACATGTTAAGGGAAAGTTTTTGTACAGGCTTCAATTTTCTTTTTATGAATAGTCACTGGTTGGTTAAAAGTGGTCTGGGAAACTCTTAAGAATATATTTGACTACAGGGCTGGGGAGATGGCTCAGTGGTCTAAAGCACCTACTTAGAACAAGCTAAACTAAGCAAAACAGAGGGACCGTGGTTCAATCCCCCAGCATCACATTCCAGCCAGCCCCGCCCCCTGATGGGCTGAGCTGGCCACACACACACAAAATAAATAAATAAATAAAGATTAAAAAAAAAAAAGAATATATTTGACTACAAAAAGGAACAGACTTTCTGCAGTCTGAAAGGATTTGTACTTGAGGATACTCCATCAGCAGAGGATCATGCTGAGCATTCTGCAGGCAGAACTGTTTTAAGTCTGCAGCTGCCTGGGAAACCTTCATGTAGTTGAGCCTGGTCTCCAGCCGGAGCTGCTGAACCACTTTCTTTATGGCAGCGACGCTGGAAGAGCCAGACATAGTACATCTGGGGGCCGGGCCAACGCTAGGGCCAGGGGCAGCGCAGGAGGGTCGGCAGGGCCAGAGAGCGAGGCGCGGGCAGGGGCCTGTTATACTCTTAAAGCACAAAAATTAGGTAAAGTTACAGAAAGTAACTTCTTACTATATAAGTTAATTTAGACTTTGTTTTATTTATTTACTTATTTATATTTTAGGGAAGGGTCTACAGGATGTTCAGGGCCTCACAACTAGATCAACTCTTAGTGATCCACCTGTTCACAGCCTCCCAAGAGCTGGGATTACAGGCCCATGGCACCACACACAGTCTCAATTACAGTGTCAGCGCACCCAGGGGCTGAGGCCGGCCTGGCAGGCTCGGGAATCAAACCTCTGTCCCCTTTGCCTGCAGATGCTTTAATCTGCTGAGCTATTTGGCCGGCCCTTGGACTTTTATTTTATTCTTGATTAAAATTTCTTAAAAAACAAAATCTATCCCTGGCCAAATAAAACATTCTTGAAAGCTGTTTAAGCAGACAAGCCAGAAAGTAGCAAAATTTTCTCATTCTGATAAAGCAGTCCAACTCAATTAAAACAATCACCCCTTGATGCTGATGCATCTAAAAGCTTTAAGTCCAAGGACTGGCAATCAAAACACCTTTCCAGACAGGTTTCATGATGCTGGCCTCAACACTCATTATCGATTCTCCTTCTTCAGCTTCCTATGTGATCTGACTACAGGCAAGTACCACCACCACGAGCTTTTGTTTTTTGGTGGTACTGGGGATCAAACTCAGGACCCTGCGCTTGCCAGGAAGGCATTTATTCTACTGAGCTATCTCCCCAGCCAAACAACAAGCTTTAAAACTTTTGACATGTCATTTCCTCTTAACCATAAAAAGCTACCTTACCTGACTACATATAAATATAGAAAAGCAGATTTTAAAATGTTAAAAATATGAACTTACCCATAACTAAAAACTGTGAGTTATAGTAAAAGCATAACTGTGACAAGGAATCAAAACATTAGTTTATGGTGGTACCCTGGTTAAGAAATTTAATTCTTTCCAGGATTCTCATCGTAAACTGAATTGGACAAGAACCAAATCAAATTGAATGTTTAAGTTCAATGTTGACCTTACAGGGAAATTTGATTCGGTTCTTGTCCAATTCTGTTTACAACCAGAATCATGGAAAGAATTAAGTTTGTGAACTGAGGAACAACTGTAGTTAGTACTCAAGGGAATTCAGAGTTGGCTTCTGTGTCACTCATTAATGCAATTTCTAAGTTGAGTCAAACAGATTCTATACTTATTCATCTCAATTAAAATTACAAAGTTGGGTGGGTCTCAGTTTTAGAGTCAACCAAATTGAAAGCTTAAGATCTGCTACTATACTCTTTGCACTGCCAATCATCACAAGAACTTATACCAAGTAACAGAATGGCTCTAGGTAGAGTCATGTGCTATCAGCAACTGTCAATATTCTATCTGCCCAACTTTAGTTCTGGTGTCCTACCCAAGCATCATCTCTTCCTCGGATAAATCCCAGGAAATCAGGCCATCATAGGTTGGGATTTTTCAGAAGTGGCTGAATCCAGACCATGACTGATTCATGGTGTATGCTAGGATTAAGGGTGCAGGATTGCTTTACTGATTAGTTTGGTACCACCCTAATCTCAGCCTCCATAGAATACAAAAAAGAGGTGTGGGGGGGACCTGCTTAGGTCCTTCCCTTGCTTTGCTGCCTTCCACCCACCAGGAACAGTTCCTCCTCTATGACGTATTGTCAGTCATGCTTTATGCTAGCCTGCCTTGGAACCTGCTGATTATGGACTGAAACCTCTACAAACTGTGAGCTAAATAAACTTTTCCTTCCTTTACTTGTGGATGCTGGGTGTTTTGCCTCAAGCAATGAGAACAGTAACTAACACAGTATGTGAAATGTTAGGGATCAGAATACTATTTCAAATATAAAAATTTTGAGTCAGAATATTAAGGGTGCATTTCAAGGGGTAAAACACGCCCATTTTTCTATCCTAAATACCATTTAGAGATAGAAGGCACAATGAAGAATAGCTGGAAATACCTACATCTTCATTCCAATCTTCAGTTCCCCACTCCTCTGTTGCAGCCCTCCATGCACCTGAGAATAAAGGAAAAATAGAAAATAATTTTAAGTATCATTTAAAAATCTGTATAGACCACTAATGCATTAACATTTCTGGAACCAAAAGTATGACCAGAATATAGTAATCAGAAGGGATTCTTAGGCTTCAGAGATAACTTTAGAGGAACAGATTTTATTAAGATCATGATTTTAAAAGCTACTTTCACTTTATACTGTTAAGAGTTGTAACTAGATAGGGAAAGGAGGGGTAGAGACAGTAAGGCAGGGAGACAGACTGATACAGAAAAGTGCACAACACACATATACACACCCATCTTAATGCTCTAGGCATTATCTTTAAGGTCCTTAGTTCTGACTTAATAGTCAACTCAGTGAAACAGTAACAGCCAATTCGAACCAGAACATGCCTTACATCTACTTATTTGGTATAAAACAAAAAACCTACAGGCAGTCTCAAGAGATGACAGCAGTGGTAGCGATACATAAATACTTCTCCACACATGACTGTCAGTGACAGGGCAATAACAAAGAACTGATTTGAAAGCCAAATTAAGGACACTAAGAAATACCTGCAAGTGGAACTGAATAAAAAACACACACTTCGTAGAAGTCAAAATTCATAGCTCTTAAATGGTTTAAATAACAGCAAAGAGAGCTCCACAGACTTTTTTCCCCCTGGGGTGGTGGTGGGGATGCTGAGTAAGACTGAAGAATCAAATACGAACAGCAACTATCATACTATTCTTTCTCACACAGAACATGAAATCTGCCCTGCAAAGGTCACGGCACAAACAGAAGTGTACAGTTTTATAAAAAGACTTCTCTGGTAATTAAGCCACTTTGTACATTTCCTTTTGCATCATGTGTACATACAACTTCAGAGAGACAAAAAACGCTCTTGAAGAATTTAAGGGCCGTCCAAACTGCTCAGCAGACTAAAGCACCTGCAAGCAGGTGCAAGGGCCAAGGGTTCAATGCCCAGGCCTGCTGTGCCCATCCCCAGGGCACGCTGAGACAGCAATTGAGGCTGGGCGTGGTGGCACAAGTCTATAATCCCAGCTCTTAGGAGGCTGTAAACAGGCAGATCACTACAAGTCCGATCTAGTAGTGAGACCCTCAATGCCCTGTAGATCCTTTCCTAAAAAATACAAAAAATAAAAAAATTAAAAAAGGAATTTAAGTGAAGATTTTTATGAAAACCAATTTTTTCCCTATAACCAAAGCTCACACAGTAATATTTAGAGAAGGAACATGAATGGCCTTTATTTTCTTCTCCAGAACAGGAGTATGTTGAATAAATTTAAAGTCTTCTCTTCAAAAGGAGAACGCTTCTTGTAAAAGTCAAGTCAGGTACAGTGTTGCACCCCCGTAATACCAGCATTTGGGAGCCTGAGGCAGAAGGACTGCCTCACGTTTAAGGCCAGACTGGGCTACACAGTGAGTTTACAGCCAGCCTGAACTACATAATGAGATCCTGTTTAAAAAAAAAAAAAAAAATTAGGGCCGGCCAAATAGCTCAGCAGATTAAAGCGCCTGCGAGGAGGGGCTGAGGCTGGGGGTTTGATCCCCGGGCCTGCTGTGCTATGCTGAGACAGCAATGAGACTGGGCGTGGTGGCGATCACCTGTAATTTCAGCTCTTGGGAGTCTCACTACAGACCCTGAACACCCTATAGACCCATAAAAATAAAAAAATAATAGACTGAACAGTTTTCAAGTACTTCATTATCATTAAAACTTTAACCCCTACGGGTTTAAAACCTACGGAAATGTTTCTGAACATTTAATAATGAAAAATACGTCTACTGTAGTGACTTTCCCAGGAAAAACTTAAAACTGAACCAAGGAAATTCCAAAATACTAAATAATAGCAATGTCCTTCAAAACCAAAGTCCAGGGCTGGGGAGCTAGCTCAGTAGAAAAGTGCCTGCCTGGTAAGGTCCTGAGTTCAATTCCCAGTACCGCGAAACAAACAAACAAATAAACACACACCAAAGTCCAATCTCACTCTAGACAAGCTCCAAGCTACATTCTTCTTCCTTCCTAGTGATGTCACTCTTTTCCTCCATTTCATCCTGGTTAAGTGAAACTCAAATTTGTTAGCTCTACTACACAATCAAGTTAGACATGACCTAAGAAGTATCTAATTTAGACTCGCTATGCAAAAATTTCCTTACTGCACTCTGGTGACTTAGACTGGGACACAAAGGAAAAATCTAGATACCTTCTTCCTAGAAGTACGGTTGTGGCTAAGAGAGCTGCTGAGAAAGGAATACTAAAATGGATGGAAATGCGCCAAAAACAAAACTTGGTTTCTATCCCCTCAACATAAAGCACAATGTACAAGCCAAATACTCATTTAATTTTTAAGAAGGAAAAGTGTCAGACACAGGAAATGAAAGGAAAACAGAAAAAGAGAAAAATTACATATCCACAGATATTTCTATTCATAAAAATCTTCAAAAAAATATCCGGGGCAGTTAGGCACCTGGATGTATCATACCAGGAGCAGTCTCAAATTTTCGGGGATAATTTGTCCCCTCAACCCCAATGAAATCAAGTCCTGAAACAAAAAAGAAAAGAAAAGAAAAACAACCAGTGAAATTTTGCTTTTGGATGAGAACGTCTGCCCCCAATACATAGTTCCCACTGTACCTGTGGATATTTAAGGGTAGGCTTGAATTTATTTTTAAATTAAAAAGAGAACTGAAGTTGGCTGTTATGAAAACACAGAAGACAGCACACATGAAGGTAGGTCACATCCTGAAGTTACACATAACACTCTCACACTAATAAGATGGCATCACGTATAATCTCATATTCAGTCACATACCACTGACTTCTGATTCCAGACTTCCAAAATCTGCTTCTCCTTTTGCCCTCAGCAGAATTAAATACTCACCTCACCGTTTATTTTTTCCAACCAAATCCTTGTTGAAGACACCAAAGACTAAGGACTAAATCACTAGGTCCAATTTTCTACCCCTAACCAAAAATACAACCTTTTAATTTCTACCATTTTTTCTGCCAAAATGAAGAAGCCAAACCCAAGAACAAACCATAGGTCAAAAATAGTAACTTCTGATACTGAGAATGCTACCACTGCCTCTACAAAGCCATCAAGAAATGAATGAACAATTCTAATGCCTCTAAGGTAGAGTAAGTTAAAATAAACACATTTTTAGCCAAATAGTAGAAAAACAAGTATCTATCCTGTCAATACTTCAACTTTACTCTCCACCCACAGGAAATATCAAAAATAAATTTACAAGCCAGGCGTGATGGCACATGGCTATAATCCCAGCTTTTGGGATGCTGAGATGAATATTATTTTGAGTTAGAGGCCATATTGGGATAAAAACTGAGTTCAAGATCAGCCTGAACTGCATAGTGAAACAATGTTTCAAAAGATTAAAAAAAAAGTTTATGAGATAGCACTTGGTCAAACAGAAAGCAGGCAACATTCAGGACCTATATAGTATAACATCTTCTGTGCTACAGAGGACATGCTGTGTCACACGGCCCTAAAGCTCCCAGAGATTATGATCACTGGTCTCTGAAAGGGAACTAAGCACGTTTAAGGGGCTATGGTACCAAAGAAATTAATTCATACCCCTTTACCAAAAGAAAACCTCAGGCTTTTTGTGTTAACCCAGCCAAGAGACAGATGTTCTCACAGTACTCTAGAGCCTAGAGGCTGCCTTTACTGAAAGGATTACGTAACCTTTTACCCCAAACACATCCTAGTCTGTCTCACAACTTAACATGTCCCTAAACATCAATCCCTATGTAGATACAGGCAACCAAGTCAGTGAAGAGAAAAAATAAAAAAATATCAATTTTATTCAAATCCTATAATAATCTATCACACCAAGAAGGCTATTAACAGAATGCTAGGCAGGCTAGAGCTTTCCTTCTTACTCAGATACTGAGATATATCAAATATGAAAGAGAGGGCCGGCCTGATAGCTCCGCAGACTAAAGCTGCCTGCTTAGGCAGAGCACAGTGGCTGGGATTGACCCCTGGAGTGCCATGCTGACCCCGCCCTGCCCGAGATGGTGATTGAGACTGGGTGTAGTGGCATGTGTTTGTAATCCCAGCACTTGGGAGGCTGAAAACAGGAGAATCACTGTGGTTCTGATCTATGTAATAGGAACCTGTCCTAAAGGAACAGAAAAAAAAAAAAAAAAA